TGGCAAAACAAATCTTTATCAGAGAGCACAGGCTCACAGGAATAAATCTCACCTGACTGTGAGATCGAGCCCCAGAGCTGGGCCTGCTGAACTGTGTGAAACTGAGTTGCATTTTGTTTGTCACTGATTATGATTCGTGAATGGATTCAGAACATTTCGCGCTGAACCTTTAACAGGCACATTAGAGAAGCCTGGGGTCGGCTGAGCTGATGTTTTATGCACATGGTGCAGAGTTGAAGAATTCTGCTGCGATGACTGCAGCACAGTCGACAGCAGAGGTCTGAACTTCAGTCCCATGACCTGGATACAAGTCAAAAATTGGATGAATTATTCAATTGAACAAAATCAGAAAAGACATGTGACTTGGACTTAAACATACTCGGCACCTTTCACTATGCCTAAAGATTAAAAGTTGATCTTTAGCTCTGTTCATTCCCAACAATCCCCAGATCAACCACAGCATCCAATCAATTTGCATTAGAGAACTAATGTTGTCACATATGTAAATGCACATTTAATCCTAGATAATCAACAAATACAGAACATTTAACATTATGAAGAGATAGCAAAACATTGATGCCAAAACCATACCACTACAGTAGTAGTGAGTTAAGTGTCAAGTTTTTTTTGGTACCACTGAACACCAGCATGAATGCGACTGGACGTAAGATTAATTTTCACTGACATTCAAAATTATATACGTATGTGGCCTTATATCTTGAACATGTGTGGAGAATGAAAAATCTTTAAGAACGTGTAAGCAGAAGAAAATGACCTTGAGTCAACGAGTGATGAACCTCTGAGAAGGATGAGCTTGTGGTGATGAAATATTAATATATCTATGAGCATGGATCTGCAAAGCCTGTGGCTTGATACAGATGCTACTGGTCACTGGCTTCTGTCTTCTACTGTTAAGATGTTAAATGCTGCTGCGCTCAACACACCAGCACAGCAGGTGCAGTGAGGATGTTTATATGCAGAGCTACGATAAAGTGTCCCATTCCCTCTATAATTAAAAGTGCTCTGTGTACAGAGACTGTTAACCTGTAGTGCTTAAATTTAAAAGGTGGAGACATCTAGGGAGAAGGTGAGAATATACTGTAATGTAAACACTACTCTAACTCTGCAGCTGGAGGTATTGAGCACAAGGTTTGCATAGCTGTTTGTCTGTCTGCCAGCAGTATTCCACAAAAACTACTTAATTGATTTTCGTGAAACCTGTTGGAATCGTGGGGTATTGGCCAAGAAAGAACCCATGCATGTTTGGAGGGGATTCGATAAAGGTGGGCAAAAAAAAGTGGGCAGATCCAGGATTTTTTTTTTTAATAATTGCGAGATTTTCACCAATTTCCTTTGGAATAATTCATGGCACTCAATGAAAAAAGCTCTGGCATATTTCAGGGACTGATATCTATGAGTTTGCTGCAGCTTGATTTAATTTAAGGGAGCTTTGGGGCCTTGGAGGAGGCCACTGTCATTCTGGATTTGTGCTAACTTAAACCATGCTTAAACCTATCCAGAGACAGGACATAGGATACAAACCCCAGTCCCTGTCAGTACTTTGCCTGGTTCCACCATCCACCCTAGTCACATCCTGGAGTCTCTGCATGCAGCACTTCATTGATTTTGAAAATAAACAAGTCAGCCATTACATTTGCTACCAAGAAGCAATGGAGATCTGATGAAGACAGGAGAAGATGAGGATGGAACCGTTCTTCGGAGTAAATGAATACCATGATATTAATGTTGTTTTTTTAGCTTTAAAATACAGGCTCCACTGTTGGTAATGATTAAATGTCCTTCTGATCACAGGCATTGATTCAAACAGTATGGACATACTCAGTCTAGCTGTTCAATAAACTTTGACTCTAAAACTTGATTCTGTTTGGTGATTAGCAAATACCTGGAACTGTAGCAGTGACTTTTCCTCTCACACCTTCATTTGACTACGAATTAAAAATCAGACTTCCTGTGAATAAGTAGATGCATGGTGTATTTTCTAAATGTGCTATTACAATCTAAAATCTCAATATCAAGCTCTCTTTGTATAATTGAATACATTTAGTTGTGATCTACTTGCTCCTCTTCACCAATATGAAATGCGTCTTGCCGCTTCGGCACTCCACCAAACCTTTTCACTCCTGATCCCTACCATCGCATTTCTATGTCTTTAATCTCTCTGTCTGTTTGAGACCTCTCTCCTGTGACTCCGTCCTGACTTCATGTTCAATAACCTTTTTTCATTTTCTGATAGAATGGACTCTAGGCCTTGGCAACGTCTGTAAACAAGCCTCAGGTTACTGCCCTGTTGTAAACATTAATAGAAATAAAAGCTTTATGTCCTGATAACGTCTGTCTCACCCATGACCTTGTTGAAAAAGCAGCAGGGAAGCAGAAATTGAAGCACAACTCTGTTTAATGTGAATCTGTAAGTGCCAAATTTGACTTTTATCTCTCATTTGACCATTATGATGAAAACAAGGTTATTATAGTTTCCCACCAAAAAAAGTTTAAAACATAGCTTTCAATTATATTTGGGTTTCTCGTGAAATAGAAATAAAGCAATCGTTTAGGCGGATGTACAGGATATGTCCTTTAGTGGTAATAGTACTAAGATCTTTAGTAATGCCTCTGTGCATCAGCCCACATATACAGTCCACACAAGATATACTGTAGGAAAGATATACTGTAACTCTTAATGCTATATAATGTGCGGCATCATCAAATGGCTAATCTGCAGAATCTCTGTATGTTGTTTTGCACCGTGACACAAAATGTGGCCTTGAGATCGTGGTAGCTTTGCCTCTGATTGGTGCAGGAATAATAATAAAATAAAACAAAAAAAAAGATTTCCATCACTTGGGACACACAAAGGTGTACCTTGCATTTTTCTTCATCTCAGATACCAAACAAATATTTGATTCATCATAAAAATAATGAATCGCAATTAAGGCCCTTCAGAATATATGTGTCCAACAATTGAAAATAAAAAGACAATTTGGGAAATAAACAATATAAACCAACTGTAACCATAAAGAGTGTTTTTGTGATTTCTTCTGGATCCCTAAATATTGTAAATGCGGTGCATGGCACACACAGATAAGATCTCCTGGTGCTGTTTGGTGCCAGTAGAAAAGAAGTTGAGTGAAACAACAATTGAGTGTGTGTCGTATGTATGATTCGCCCATTCTCCACTCGTCCACATTAAACACAGTCCTCTGCGATGTCTCAGCCGAGCTTCACTGGCAGGATGTGACATGTGGCAACCAAGCAGCCTTGCTTGCTTCCATTTCCTGCCTGGTTAAATACCCCTCGTAGTAATTTTAAGCAGATGGGAACGCCGGCTGTCTGCAGTGTAGCGTCTGTGGAAGCCTCCTCTTTTAATAAATGGGCATGACTTGCCAGTACACTCCCTGATCCAGCCTCACCAGACTTCTAATAACAGTCTCTGTGACTTCTGGGGATTTTCCAGTGTTTGAGCCCTCTGTGAGGAATGGCCTGCGTCTGTGATTTGTGATTACTGTGCCACTGTCTGTGCCTAAAGCTTTACTCATTAACGCAACTGTAGGATGTTGTGAGAGAGAACATTTCACAAGGTCTGTCCTGAACAGTCTTAGCTTGGTGCACACCACATCACGTAAAAGTCCAAATGTGTTGATAAATAGATTGTTTACACTCTGAATGTGATGTAGAATGAGTTCAGCAGAGCCTAAAGGATCTATAAACACATTCTTAACATCGAAATGGATAACGGCACACAACCACAACCATCTTAACTGGGTCTGTCCTCTTTAATCTCGTTTAGCAGGACATTTTGTTTTTGTAGAGCGGATGGATTTATCGGTTAGCCAATAAAGGTCTGCTGCTCTGAGCCTTTCGCAGACATCAGTGTTTACTATCAAGTGACAATTATAATTCTTTGTCCTAAGGTTTTGATGAAGAACATCTCAGGAATCATTGCATTACTTTATAATATACATATACATTGGTGGATATAGAGGTATCAGATTTGTTTTAGTTCCTATTATAGGCACAGCATATTTTGGGTTGGGCTCTTATATGTTTTACACTCAGGTCTGTTTTAGATAACTACTTCTATCTTGTTAAAGGAAAATAATAAATATAATGAAGAAAAGCAGCCTGTGATCTGCAGACACAGTAGGTAACATACTGACCATATTTAAACAGAACTGTTGAACTGTTGCTGGTTTTCTCTGAAGCTGTAGTTTAATTTCAGGGGCCACCCTCTCTGTGTCGTTGTGCTTGTATCATAGACTTAAGATCTAAGATTAGAGGATTGTACTCTATTTAGATGACCTCATGTAGAGATTGTTATTTTGTCAACTGTTGGATAAACCCAGTCCTGTGTTTTCTTTTGGGGAAAGGATACATGTGTATATTAAAAGTATATTTTTGACAGATTTCAGTTTTATGAGCAGAAAGTTCATCTATGTTGTACGTTTAACTGACTTATCTTTACTTTCTACTGTGGTATTGTTAAAAATACAAGGCAGCATTAAAGATTTACGAGGAACAGAAGCGAGGCCGAAATCAGAAGCCAGCTCAGATAATAGATGGTGCAGTTTTTATTCCGTTCCTTTCTTTCTCTGTCGTTGACTGGATCCCTTAATGAAGGACTGTGGGGCCCGACATCGTAAACTTTCCCCTAACAAGCTTTCTCACTAATGGACCCATTTCCATATCTCCAGTCTTCCTCTCTTCTGTTTCACTGTACAAGTCATGCCACAGAAGAAAAACAAAAAGTTTCAGTCAACAGTTGTGGGAGTCCATAATCCAACAGGATTTATCTGACCATATGCAAGAACATGCCTGATATTTTCGCAGAAAAAGGCTCCTGTGCACTGGTCCTCTCTTTATTGTTATTGGTTTTCTACCTGTGATTTTTTGAAACTTAATTAAGCTGATTGATTTTCATCCTCATCTGAGGTTATACCAACATTCGCAGCACTGACCTCACCTGTTTTTTCTCTCTGTTTTAGGGACTCGGGCAGAGGAGCCATGAATGATGAGGTGTTGCCACGATGTGTGGTCATGTCTCCTCCACTGAACATGGGATCTCTCTTCCTACTGACTTACTGTAGCTGTCGTGTTGTCACCATGAGAGGATCTGTCAGATTCTCGACTTCTGTGCCCTCATACTGGCGCTACCGTTGCACTGTGTGAGCGCCCCCCTCTCCTCCGGCAGTTACTGCACGGAATGGCCTCTCTGGACCTGCCATACCGCTGTCCTCGCTGCGGGGAGCACAAGCGCTTCCGAAGCTTGTCGTCCTTACGTGCCCACCTGGAGTACAACCACACGTACGAGACCCTCTACGTCCTCTCCAAGTCCAACAGTGTGTGCGACGCCGCTGCTCTGCTGCCCCTAGTAGCTGAGGGAGCCCTCCTCACACCTGCCAATAACAACGACCCCTTTGAGCCGCTGCGGCCCTCTGCTCTAAAGGAGCGGCGCTTCCCATGCCGTGAACTTCCTTGTGCGGATGACCTGAGTTTGACCCCTTCTAACTCCAACACCGCAGCTCGGTATATTCCCAATGTGGAGTTTCCCCTGGGGGAGATTTTCATGAAGACAGCTATGACATCCACAGACTCTGGTTCCCATGGAAACCCCAGCACAGCTGTAGCAGTGGCTGCTAATGTAGCGGCTAGCGCAGTGGAGGCGGCCTATGAGGAAGGGCTGGCCAGGCTGAAGGCACGAGCGTTTGAGCGGCTAGAACTGGATGAGAGGCTGGAGAAGTTGTCTGAAGAGGTAATGACGATCACTTTGGTTAATTTGGTGGCTAATTTAATAGTTAATATGGAGGCTCACCTTAGGAAAGACTACAGACTTTGAATATTTCTGACTTTGGTGTCCACTGGTGGTTGTGTCAAACATTACACGCTGACACATTAACATAGGAAACATAAAGAAATAATAAAAGGAAGAAATGTTAAAATAAATGAATGAATTTTTATTTTGATAATACTTAATGTATTTATTCATTCATGCTGACCTATAACTACTAAAGCTGTATTTCACCAATTTAGAGCTTCTATTATCTTCGAAAGGGGCCAAACCACCAAATCTAAAAAAAAAAGTACAAGATATTTTTGAATCACTTTTTTTCTGAAGGTCATAGAGACTTGTGCATTTCATGATTAATAAAGGGTGGCCTGCCACGCAATCACACCAAATTTCAGCACGTTTCGAGCAAGCAGCGCAGAGTTATTCTAATTAATCCCTAATATGGGTTAGGGTTGTAATTAGGGTTAGGGTTAGGGTTGCAATTAGGGTTAGGGATGAATACCCGTAGGAGATCAAGATATTCTTCAATAACTTTTTTTCTGTAGGTCATAGAGACTTGGAAGTTGGTTCCATCTCCACTAATGTGGCTATGCCCGATCCATTGGTACCACCCCCGAGCTTCTA